ACTGTTACAAAGAGTGAATCTAAATTATGGTGATTTTCTGTGAGAAGCACTTCAACAGTGGCCTTTCACTCTCCTTTGACTGTCAAGGAAAGCAAATTATATTCACCTTGTTAAATTTAAGGTGTACACCTCTATTTCTCTCTTTTGTCTTTCTAGGAAACTGAGGTAGAAGAGCTTTTAAAATGTTAGATGTCAAGAATCTGCTGTTGTAAAAATTCCCTACGACTTCCCCAAAACTGTCAAGTAATGACTTGCAAATTGGCAGCTTTTATTTGATGTTCCATAAACAGAACTCCTAATAGCCTTCCCATGGAAAGAACTTGTGGAAATAGAAACCCTGATCGTGGTTGGTTGGTTGGTTGGTTGGTTGGTTGGTTGGTTGGTTGGTTGGTTGGTTTTTTACCCAAGTAATTTTATAGCAAGGTCAGATTCTTGCACTGCTGTGCTAAACTGCCTGTTGAAGTTTTGTTTCTACAGCAAAATACATCAAAATTAAAACTTCAAAAGAAAAATGCTTTTGAAGCATATTCCTTTCATTCTGTTCATACTATTTCATTGTTGCTTTGGGAATATAAAACTAATTTTTAAAAAATTTTAAAAAAATTTTCATAACATTTTATATGAACAATTAATGAAAATGATAATTAGTTGCAAACTTCTAAACCAGCTGTCAGGAGGAGCAAGAAACTATGAATGTAGATATTTCAGGCATGAACATACAGAGTAATTGTCCAGGTTCCTAACATGTAAAAATCCCAATCAGATCAAGAATGCATCTGGAAAGTACCTGGACACATCGGTAAGAGGAGAGACTGGGGCCTGTATCTTGCCAAACCATGAGTTAGTTACACCTCATCTGGAAATGATAACAATACTTTTTCCAGTCTTCAGAGAGAATGAAATTACTATTTAGACCGGAAAATTCCCAGTTCAGAAGGAATATATTTTTCGTTTAGGATTTAAATGTACAAATTTTGTCAATTTCAAAATACTAATTGCTAATTACTAGTACTGATTCCCTCAATTACACAGATTGTTAAAGGACTTGAGAATATAAAAATATGGAAGATTTTTCCTGAGCACCAAACCCAAATTATTGTGCTCTTGAAAAAACCTATACTTCTACTACTGTGTTAGCTACTGATTTCTGCTGTGGGCTATTTCTTAGAGATACAACATTAATCTGTTGGCAGTAGGTGTCTGGGTATCAAAAGAACAAAGATGAGAAGCATATATTGCTAGCTAGCTTCTGTAAATATAAATGCAAAATAAAAATGAAGTCAAGTGGGAATGCAATTAAATTACATAAATTATTGAATGACATGAAAGAATCAATTCTTCTAATTATGTTCAGCCTCACAGAGATGAAGGATAACATCAGAGATGATCATGAATGAAGAAAACTAATTTGACACTAAACTGGGGAAAAATTCTGAGAAGGAATCACAAAGAAGGTCTTGACATATCCTTATAAATGAGAATTTTCACTGAGGACAAGAGTTTTACTTGCAATACTAAATAGGCCAGGTGTTCTCCACTGAGGAACTCACCTGATTTTGCCCTAGGTGGTTTAAACTGCTGTTAAAAAATTAGTCACGAGAGATCTTCTCTCCTCTATATTCTCTCTAGAAATTGTTTAATTAATTGTTAGAAAGATGACATTTTAATTAACAATGGAAATTCTTGGGGTTGGGTTTCCAGGAAATTTCTAATATTTCTTGTGATAGGCTTTATAAAGGACTTGCAGCTGGCATAAGAAATTAATAAAAACAGCTAAAATGAGGAAAGTCAGTGCAACCATGATATCAGAGTCCTCCCCCCACCCACCCCAGATACAAAACACAGTTCTTAAAATGGAGCAGAGACACAGTTCTGCACAAACCCTAGAGGAAAAGTCTCCTGACACACCTTTATCATGTAAATCACGGGCAACTGCCTGAGCTTGCAGGGTCCTTCACAGCCAATTTCCATCCTTCTTTCCATTCTCAGGAACAGGATTAGACCTTCACCACCAGTCAAATGACCAGGCCTTAGTATTTTCAGAATATGCATTTTTTCTTTCTCCATCATGCACACTATGGTCAGGAAGTGCTTTTCACTTTCTCAGTGTGAGAAAGAAGGTCTTGTAGTAGAATCCAGATTTTCTCCTGCCAACATCCTTCGTATTTTCCTTGGGAGAGGGAGCATCAAATCCTGGGTGTAGGTGAAGTGGACAGCACAGCAGGAGCCTGTGCTTGAAAATGGGCCATTCTGCTTCAGATTTCCACTCCATGATCCCACTGACAGAGGAAGTTCAAGAGGGCTAGGCTGCCTGAAGCTCCACAAGGGATCTTCTGGTATTGAAAGATTTTGCTTATGGCCTCTCAGCTGTAGGTACAGGAATAGTTTTGGGTAGCAGGATGGGCATAGTTCAAGACAACTGTTATATACAACAAAACCTGAATGCAACAACAGTAAAACCTTGCTGTTTTAGAAGGCCTTAGTAGCTTTTAATGGTGGTATTTTTTCTCAGAGATGAGCATGTAAAAAAAAAAAAAAGAAGAAAAAAGTCTCTAAATATCAAACACAAAGAAAGGAATAAAACAATGGGAGGAAGTTAAGTTTGTCCTGGTTCCCACAAATACCAGTGAACACTGTCTAAATCCCCCCCAATTTTTTAAAATCATCCTTACATTTCTACCAGTTTCCATTTCTAAAAGGGTGTTATTACAGTTTTTATGTATCTGCAACATGCAGATTTTTCTGATCTTAAGGTTACTGACTTTAAGGCAATGACACTAGTTCATGAAATGGCAACATGAATTAGCTGCAGTCAGATATTGATGGGCACATATGTATATGCCTGTAGAAAAACAAGAGATTATTTTCTCAGTGCATTCTTAGATAGCCTAAATCTATTTTAATCCTTTCCTGTTGTACTCACTAAAGCACATGTACACTGGTGATTTGCATTATCATGAGATATTCTCTGGCTATCTTGGGAGCTGGAGAGTTACTGTAGAGGGAACCCTCTCAAATTCCTCAACATCTTACTCAAGCTGTTTGAGAATAAAAATAAGTGTGCTTTCTGTATTGCAAAAATACTGTCACAATGCCTGACATTCAGCCTAACCTTGGTGCTCCTTGACTTTCAGAGCAAACATCTATTGGTATAATTCATCTGGTTTCAAACTGTGTAAGCAGAAAATATGGTCCTCAGAGCTTCACACTGCAACTTCCACCTTGTTTTAAAATACTTTTACATTTAACTTTGTAGCTATTTTAGAGGAAAAAAAGAGAGGAAAACATATCAAATCTGAATGGCTTAAAGAGTTTATGATTTGTATCCAGAACCCCACAACCTACATTCTCTAAAGTTTTCAGAGGAGTTTAACACATCACAGTTTCTCTTTCTTCTGTACACTGACCTAGCTTTGCTAGCTTTGCCATGACCAATCACTTGTTTACTTGTCTAGCCTCCCATGCTCCAACTTACTTCCCAAACTGTCTATCCTTTAACATAATTTCAAACCAGTTTGTGGCTTTTTGGTTTGTTTCTTTGGTTGTGTTTTTGTGGTTTATTTTTTATTTCCTTTTTTTGTGCATTTGGCTTTTTTTTCTTTCTCTTTTTTTTTTTTTTTTTTTTTTTTTTTTTTGCTTTCTTTGAATTTAGCTTTCTGAGTAATAAACTCTTCTTTCAGTATGGCACAGCTCCTTCTAGCCATCCCCAAATGTTTGGAGACAGAACTGAGGTCTGAGAAAGCCCCTATTACCAGATGTAATAATTATTAACTGATTTACGGTGTAGGTGCATTGATTTAGATATAGATCTCCTTATAGTCTGAAATGAATGGTCATACATCGATCTTAACATTGATTTCCTTTTTTTTAAAATTGGGCCAGTACTACTGTTTTTCAGGGTTCAGATCATCATGATCTTAAAATAAAACAAACAGTTACAATCTCAACTTTTGCCTAGTTTGGAGTAGTTCTAAAAGAAAGTCTGAATTCCTAGTAGTTTTTTGAGGCAACAGGTTTTCTGAAATTTTCTATTAGATCAGAAGATTTCTCCAAGACTTTTGATTATAATGACATTAATCACTTAGGGCAATATAACATATGCTGAGGTGAAGAGCAGGTAAACTGATTGCTATAATTACAAGTTCAAAAAATAAAAATTTGCTGTAATTTAGAAAGTTCAATGTGATGCACAAGATTATATATTTTATTTGAAGGCCAGATTGCAGGTATCTAATCAGGATTTAAGATCTGAATGAGAAGAAATTGTACCATAATTATTTTCCCAGAAGGAATAGTAAAGTACCTAATGCATCTCTGAAGATTTGAAGAGCTGAGTAGAGGTGCAGAGTAGCAAGGGAGAGCTATTGATACTGTTTATTTCAGGCTTGCTAAAATAAAAAGTTTTACAACTAACTGAATGCCTTTTTTTTTCAAGCAAAAAGTGAAAGATACCAAAAATTTGGGTTCCAATTCACCTTCAGTAAATTTCTTTGGGTTTCAATTGAAATGTTGCATGAATGTTATCCTTGCTTTTTTCAGTTCCTCCACACATCCTTTTATCAGCCTGAAATTCAAGATTTTAATAAAAACAAGTTTTCATTATTTTAAAGAACTTTTGTTTTGGACCTAAAGGGTCTCTCTACTTCAAAAAAGACGAAGTGCAGAGCACTGTCTGGCACCTTCATTTATCTTCCTGTGTGCAGCCTTTCTTGAGCCACTGCATTGACAGTGTGTCAGTGACAGACAAGCCCTTATGAACCTTGAAGAACCCAGGCACAGGTGCCTTTAAGAAAACATGTATAAAAAAGAGAAAGAAATGTGTACTATGTGGAGTTTTTGCTATATCTGCCCAGGACTCTGGTGATGCTCTGAACTGATCCACAGAGAAAGGGATTTTTAATTCTATTCCTGTCTGTTATTGTGATACTAGGTTAATCCTTTTATTTCTCTGTTTTTTCCTTTCTCTTCTGACATTTTTCTTATTTGTCTTATTTGTTTAGAACATGATTGCCTGTCTTGACTATTTACTTTCTTGCCATATTCAGTGATTGTGCACTGAACCACTGGAAGACCAAGAGCACACAAAAATGTTGCCATCTGAGCTAGAATCCAGTACCAGCTCCTTCAGGTAGGTGGGATCTTCAAGCAGTCATTTTATGTGTTGGGTTAGAGGGCAGCACACTGAGGCTTGAGCTCAACTGGGATTCTTACAAACATCCCAGTAATATATGGTCATAAATTACAAATAAAATACAGTAACAGTCATGAAAAGGCTTAATGGAGAAATGCCATCAAGGCATCAAGGTCCTCTGTCCCTTTCTAAAAATTTCTTATTTCTGCATTGTGATAAACTGAGCACTGGGAAGCCTCAGCAGGTGGTATTGTTTGTGTTTGGAGCAGTCATTGCTGTAAGGACTTATTTAGTGAAAGGGTTTTTTGGTTTTTTTGCCTTTTGATTTGCTCACAGCAGAATTGCTCCCTGATCACAGGAGTTTTACAGAAAATATGTATCTGAATGGCCTCTGTGACCTTTTTTTTGGCTTTGGAATCATGTTTACAGGTATCTAATTCAATCTCCTCTTGCCTACACGTGAAGAGACTACATCACCAAGTTCATACTTAGCTTATACATCGTCTCTTCTATCTCTTTTTCCCTTGGAAAATTTGACTACAAGCTCCCAATAGTCCTTGAGAGAGTTGTTTGCACAGTTAGGTATCTATAATACACTCCATACAACCCTCCTTCTGGTCTGCTTTTTAACCCTTACAGAACCAGAGAGAAGGAGATCTTTGTGGCCTGATCCTGTGATTTCAACACAAAATGTGCATGCATAAACTAGAAATCTGTGAACATAAATCACTGGCCTGCATTTATGATCCACTGAAGCAACATTCTCCCTCTGCAAACTGTTTCAGGGACGTAGGCACCTTTCTGTTTACAGGGGGAGATCCCTGAGGAATTTGACACTTTCTTTGTTTCCCTGTAGTTTTCCTGTAAAATGGAGAAAATGTATATATCTGCAGCCCAGATGAAAGGAATGCTGTATCTCTTTCTGTGAGAAAACAGAGACCTTTAAAAGTCAAACTTGAGAGGAAATAGTACCTTCTGACCACTTTCACAAAATAAGTCCTACTTAATAATCCTACTAGTCCTAGAATTTGAGAGAAAAAATGTATTTAAGGTTATTGTGACATTTTCCACATCACTTTATAAATAGATGGCGGCACTAGTTCAAAAACAGTATCTCTGACTTTAAGTAAATCATTTCTAACTGTCTTCATCACCTTAGAGCTGGGGATGTGCTAAAAGCCTTGCAAAAAGGATATTACCATTAGAAAGAAAACCATTTAGAAATTCTTGCATGGGTGAAATGAAAAGACAAGAAAATGGAAAGAAAAAAGATGCACTATTTCTATCTAGTTCTGACTTTGTTCTGAGACTTATTTTTCTAACAAGAGATAAAAATGTTTATAAAGTTTTTTTGACACACTGACATCCTTTTCCAATAAGTTATTCCATGAGGAAATGCAGATATTTTTCCTACTTTTTGTTATTTCATATTTGTTTGTAAGATTTTAATTTTCAAAAGGAAAATTAGAGTTACATATACAAAGAGTTGGAAAAGACCTGGAAAAGTACATTTGAGGTAATACCAATATTGCCAGTGGTATGACTGCAGCTTGTGGAGATGAACTCATGTTGGATATAGATGTGAGTGCTCAGCTTGGGAGGTGCTTGTCCACCAGGTACCAAGGCACCAACGCTGCCCCAGCACACGTGCCAGCTGCTTTCATGTGCCACAAATTAATGTCCACAAGTGAGAGACTGTGCTGTGCTACTAATTTCAAAAATGTTTCTTCTTGGTGACATAATGAATAATATATTAGAAGCAAAGGAAAATGTTCCCTTTCAAGTGTCTGGCAAAAACTTTCAGCTGAAAACTGAAGAAAATATCCATTGGATGAAGTTAATCAAACAGACTCTACATCAGCTGTCTTTGTGTCTCGCCAGAAGATGAGGCAATATCTTAGGGGGTGCAATATGACAGAGCAGATCCCACAGAAGTGGAATGCCAAAATCTAGGACAACCCCTAAATAACTTTCATCATTTGTGGCATTGATAATGGGCAAAACGTGGCACCATGAGAATTAGAGATATTTGCCTCATTGTCTGACTGTGTCCACGTTTTTCAGCAGCAAATCGATCTCAAGTGAGAATCAAGGTTATACCATATCAAAGTGAGAATCAAGGTTATACCATATCAAAAATACAGCACTTGTAAATTACAAGCTGAACCAAAAGATTATGCATGAGCAATGGTTTTCAGATTCAGACATTTATATTGTTAGTTACATATCAACATGTACATTGAGAAAAAAATGAAATCCTTTATTTCTTCTTTTTCCACAGGATCTAAAGTTCAAAATGTTATGTGGAACAAGTTTACACAGATTGTAAATATTTAGAATGTGACAGACCAAATAGGAAATTAGGGCAAGTTATAAGTACTGAAATACCAAAGCACATTGACTGATGTACAGGACCTGATCTATCCTCCTCCTCTGAGGTAAAAGGACCCAAAGCTCTGTGCTATTAACCAGTGGCAAGGGAGATTTATCATCTCCAATCTGCAAAGCACACTGCTAAAAGAAATGCAGGAGGACTAAAGAAAAAGATAAATCCAAGCCAAATAAGAAATCAAGTACATATACTGCCTTGTCCCCTTCCCTCCCAGCTCCACAGCTGTCACAATGCAGGCTATTAAACTGTCAAATATCACCTCTTCATCCCTCATTATGTCTGTGTTAGAAAGGGTCATAAAATTCACCAAACACTTCATTTTTTTCAAAGTAAATATGAGGGGTTTGTGTTTTCATATTATGGATTACTTAAGCCTAAACCACCACAGAATGTCCATTTTAGAAATTACTTCAGAGTACAGCTTTTTGCAAAACAAACTGAAATTTACCATAAATTCTATTTTTCTTGATTCTTGTGATTGTGATACTGGAGAGCCCTTACTAATTTGTCATTTTTCACAGTCTTCCCGAAATTTTGCTATAATACCAAAAATTATTTCACCAGTCCAAATAGTGGACAATCAGGAGTAAGAGGTGAATTTTCCCTCTCCATGTGCCAGGAGACCTGTACAAGATACCATCTTCAGCATGAGGAGCCATTTAGTCAAGGCAAGCTTTTAGCTTAGGTGTGGGATGCTTGACAATGAGGGTGAAAACATAGTGGAGAATCATCTGAGAAAGACCATCTATGGAAATTGTATCAGAAGGAGCATCTCTTTATGAATGTTTGGAGAATGTGGTATTCAGACTGAGACCAAGCATGCTGAGAAAGAAAAATGTCTTTGAAGCACTAAACAAGACACTTAAGACTCATAAAAGGTCATCTGAACAACACACTCAGACAAGAGTTTTAGTGCTGGTTTTGGCTTACCCACACCGCCCTCCCTTCCCCATCACCCCGCCCCAGCAGATCTAAATATATCTTGAGCTATTTAAGTCTGCCCTGTGTGTATATGTGTGCACACGCCACACTTGTCACCAAGAAACAACAAAGAAACAGCAACGAAGGCCAGCATCTCTGGTGCAAATTAGACATTAGGAAAGCCCACCACATTTCTTTCTCTCTTGGCAGTAAGTGTGCCAAGTATGTGCTTTGTTAGGCTGGCAGGTCTAGATCTTCCTGGAGCACTGCAAGGCCAAAGGCATCAGCAGAACTTCAGTTTGGGTTTCAAGTAGTAGGCTGGGGAGGAAACTGGTCAAAGTTTGCAGCAGTAACCATTGCACAGATTTTTTTTTTTTTTTAGACATTTCTTTTGCAATGATAAAGTATAATTAAAATACTAGACAAATAAGCTGTGTTTATGACACAAATGCCGGAACTCTCAAACTACTTGTTTTATTGTCTCTTTTTTTTTTTTTTTTTTTTTCTTTTTTACTTAGCTTTGTCCACCAAGCTTTTGTAAGTTGTTGTTTGTTTTCTCCTAGCTTCCATTAGATGTCAACTCTAACCTTTATCCATCTTGCTATTACAAGAATGAGACTTATGACACAATTGCATTTCAGGTATGTTTGAAGAGCAGTATCTCTGGTTTTAACTTAAAAAATACAATGATTTATGTAGTCTGGGGTTGGGATAGAGAAAATACTTGTTTTTCAGAATCAGAGTTATAGTCATGGAGTCATATTCACAATCAAAGAATGCTTCCTAGACATTAAGGGTGGCTAGAGAAGTGAGGTTAATAAAATAGAGCTGTATTTTAAGGTAAATAATTTTTCATTGAAGGGAAAAGGAACAGACAAAAATAATCCATTATAGTAAGCATTAAATTATTAAATGAATTAATTGAAAGTATTGCAGCTATTTTTTTCTCTTTCTTGACCTAAAAGAGTGTCTTTTTGAGCAGAGATTAGAAGCACATGCCTGTAATAAGTGCAACAAGAGGCTGTAGAGTGAGTAATTATAAACAGAGTTTTATGTATGGAGATGAATCTATGAAGAAGTCCACTCTTGGGATCTAAGATCATTACTGGCAGAAAGGCTGTTAATGGATACTTAACATATGTATGAGAACCATAAAGGCAAAGCAAATGCAAATGATGACTGTGAACACAATTAAGACAGCAAAGGTTTACCTTAAAGAAAAATTCTTTCTTTATGATGTTTTATTATTTTTCCTTAAACTTAATTTGATAAATTAGATTTTTTTAAACTCTGATAAAATATATATTCCTGGTGCATGTACTGAAAAGCATGCAGATCTTTAGTTCTGATATGCTGCAGTAAAGATAAAGACAGTATCTCTGTCTTACATTGCATAATATCTAATTGTCAAGCATGTTTTTATGTAAACTGGAACAATGTCAACCAGTGAGCAATTAAAATCTCCAAGAACATGAGTGTACAAACAAAGGAAAAAAACCTACTTAATCAGAATTATATTCTAAAGCAATGGTTAAAGTGACATTTCTGCTAACTTGGTGCTTTCACTATTTCTAATTTAGCTATTACTGTTGATTTTGTCCATATTCTATGAATAATAGGGGCTTTACCTGAGCCATTTTTTCTATGCTGTGTGAAATGATCAGTCAAGTGTGAATCTTTCTGCTTTACAAGGGCTCAGACTGAACTGAATCAGACTCTAATTCCGTGAATGCAGGAGATATGGGAGTGACCAGCAGAGATCCAGCCACCTCCAGTGTCTGAAATGAATGACACTGTGATACACAAAGGGAATATGCTAAAGGCATTACTAAATTCTTCCAGAATTCCACCATCAGTCAATTTGAATCTAAATATTATTTTTCTAAAGATCCACTGAGTCTTCACAATCTTTGGGTACAGTGATATGCAAAATGGAGCAATTTGAGAGCAGCCCTCTGGGCTCCATGTGCACCACATACTGGCATGTATTTATTGGAAATCCCATTCAATGATGAAAGTGAGACCAAGTATTGCGTTTGTGTACTTTGAATAAACAAATTTCTTTGATATAAATGAAAATAGTTGCTAGCTTTTCTGTAGGAGGAAGAATCTGATGAGAAGGCAGTGGTTCCCACTGCACTGACCATAGATCTGTCAAGTCCTGTGAAGAAAAACATAATTGCATCTGGGGATAAAGCTTATTCAATTTGCTGTGTACAACTATCTTCTATTAAACATAGAAGATATATGTTAAACATAAAAGGATATTAAACCTATTCTATAGGATATTAATATCCTATAGAACGATATTAAATCTATTAAACATAGAAGAATATGTTGATCTTCCTTGAAGTGTCCAGAAGGTGAAATAACAGCAGATTCCCACAGAAGATTGGTACACCAACTGACCTTTCAACTACAGGGACCAAGTACTTGTCCAGGAACTGCTTTGAAAATAAAAGTATTTAAAGAGCAGAAGAAAAAAGTACACTCTCTAGGAGATTATTTTGCAGAAATATTTTGTTTCTGGTGCTAGAAGGAAGCAAAACATCTGAAAGGAAAAAGATCATAATAAAAGCAGGAGACTTTAGTGAGGAGAGTACTGATAAATCTCATCAAGTAGGTTCACAAGTAGCGTAGCAAGAGCCACGTCTTCCTTAGATTTCAGCTTGGCTGGGGAAAGTCACAAGTCCTCCCTTAAGCATAGGCAACATTTGCCCACTTCATGGAATAAGAACTGGTGAAAATGTCTCAACAAAGAGAGACATCCCCACTCTCATGCAGAGACTTGTGGGAGCAAAGATCCAAGCTCTCCTTTTCCTGGGAAGTTCCATACAGCAGTCAGCTGACAAGGAAAAGAGCGAGCTGGTACAGAAAGGAAAAAACTAATCCTTAATTTTGTCAGGAAGAAAAAGGGCAGGACAGGATTAATTTTGAATAAAAATCAACCAGGCACTCATTTGAATGGAGACACAGGTAAAGCTCAGAACAAAGTGAAGTACCCATTAAAATTAAAACAATGTAAAAAACATCCTTTAAGACCCAAATAAAAACCCCACATTCTGTCCAGAATCAAAGCCCATGGTTTAAGAATCATTGGTATTTATTTCTGCACACCACAAGACATTTATTTAATTAGAGAAAAATGTGCTTTCATTGCATTTCGAGTCCATTAAACGGAAAAAACAATGGGTTTTATACATTTTTAGGGTTTTGTAAAACCTCCACTCTGGGTTCTCTGATCTTTAACCTTACTAATTTGGTACTTTGTTTTCACTGTGAATACCATTTAAATTTTACAATCTCCTTTTACTCCTTCACTTCCAATGCTATGTAGACTTTGTGCATGATTGCCCTGCTGTCAGTTCTTCAATGCATCCCTTGCTCTGACTTTGGCCACATAGAATCACAACTTTCTCTTGCCCTCACCGGACAGACAAAGCTCTGTCTATCAGGGAGAAAACCATATCAGCTGACTGTTCATGAGGCATCACAGGGTCCCTTCTCATTATTTGTCCTGTTTGATTTGGGGATGGCCAAAGCCTCAGTCTGCTGCAGCACCTGTGCTGTGTCTTTTAAAGCAGAAACAAAGCCAGCCCTCCTGAGCTTTGCAGGAAATGAAGCAGCTAACTACATGGCTAATTTGCATGCACCCATGTAGCATTCAGTCTTTCAAGCTCACAGGATAATGTATTGAAAGAAATTACTGCCATTTTCTATATCATAAATATAATATTTAATCTGCACTATTTGCTCAGACAAATTTTATTATGCACTTGTCTTGTACAAGGTTTTAATAAGCTGCAGTGGAGAGCTGTACACAATACTTAATGCATACACTGATATGTGTAAAATCTAAGATCAGGGACAACAGTATGTATTTATAGCAGTGTCTGGGAGATTATATGTAATGAATACATTATACCACATACACAGCAGAAGCAGAGTTAAGGATGCTCCTGAATCCTGCAATGTGGCATTTTCTAACTTCTGTGTGCTCAACCGTTCAACCTTAACATTCCCTGAACATTCTCCAATGGAATATCTATCAGCCCAGATAATCAGCTTGCAAGTTACTCCCACAGAGAAAGATATTTCAGATTGTCCTCTTCCAAGAGACAGTCATTAATGCATTTTCATCTTGAAATGCACTACTTTCCAGCCAACATGTTCTCATGATGTTTAAAAAGCTTTAAATCTTTGTGGAGTAAGGCTCCCCAGGAAAGTTAAAAAAATACTCTCTGCATCCCATTTCCTTGGGGCTTCTCTGTTTTGCCCTTCCACTACAGCTATTATGCACAGCTTGAATTCTGGGAAGACATGATACTGTTGAAATACAAGTAATTATACTATTCTCTCTCATTTTTACCAACTATTATTTTTATTTTTTTTCTCTTCCTTTTACCTTTTCTTCAGCTGTCTTTATCTGCTGCAAACATCACTTGCAGGTTATTACTTGCAGAGAAAATGCCAGCTGAAAATTGATGATAGATTGGTGAGATGTAAATGATTGCACATTGCGGGCGTCCAAACTACAAAATAGCTATTTTGGTAACCAATTTAATCTGAATTCTTGCATGCTGGGCAATTCCAAAGCATTTTGGAAGGTTTTGTTCAAATTTCCTCTATGAAATTACACCTATAGTGCATTTTTCTTTATTAAAAGCATAAAATGTAAAGATGTGAAAAAATGCAGCATCCTTGGTAGAGCTAGCATGAAGTTTTGGGTGGCACCACAGACCCTGTAGTAAAAGCGTACAATTAAGGAATTAAAATTTGATGCTAGTTCCTGACTTAAATACTACCCTGGAATAATTAAAGATAGAGCCATTAATTTCTAACAATAAACAAACAAAACAGATCAAGAAGGCGGGCATATACATTCATATAGTAATATATAATAATAATAATAATAGTTATATTATGAATGGGATTTTTTTGAGGATTATGAGTATGTAGTTCTTTGAAACAGAAAAATCAGTTGCCATTGCACTTTACATTTATGCTATGCAATAAAAATAGTAAAATAATATTGTGTTGCCTTTTAATTGTTTTTTTTCTAATAAAAGAAGGAAATTGTTGAAACCCACTGTTTTCAGAAAAAATGGCACTGGAGAGAATATAGTAGATAAAACAGTGAAGCTAGATTTTCTCATGCACTGCATTATAAGAAAAAATGGCTTCAGCAAAAGAAGTCCAGCAGAGAAATCTAAATATATACAAGTTTATGGGCCAAATAAGGATCCAGGGAGTAACACTACTGATTAATTTGGCCACCTGTGTTCATAAAGCTTCCAAACCCTAACAAATAGAAGTAGGTAGTAAAATAAAGATTTACTATTATAAGCTGTAATAGCCTTAATAGTGGCTCTTGAGACTTGATCTGGTGACATTATTGCCTGAATTAAAAGTCCATGCTGCTTTGGCTGTGCAAAGATCCAGAGCTGGACAGAAGCAAATGCCATGGAATGGGAACATGCACCTCAGCCAGAGTCCATCCATCAAGCATCATCTGCTCTCACAGACAATGCAGTTGCATTTTCACATGAGGCCGTCAGGGCTGACTACTGGCAGCCTGGCTGCTCTCAGTACACTGTCTCAAGGGTGGACAGTGATCAGTTAAGCCATTTGACAGCACCAG